CCAAATCTCTTTGTGATGAAACACCTATTGCTTAACCCCTAGCTAAATGCATGCAAAATTCGCGTCTCCGCGTAATTATTCAAAGACCCTCTCGAGTTCAATGTGCATCACTTAAGCCGTATTTCGGATCCGCCCATCTCTGGGTCTAAGATCTAATATTAACACTTCAAAGTGATCAACTTATCCGCATTTTAAGTATCGTCCTAAGTGACCAAATTACGAAGTGATAAAAGATAAAAACACCCAAATATTATAAAAACATCATAAGTTAAACTCACACCCACACCCATACAAGTAATTTAGCTAGACATAATTAAAGACATAAAATAATACTGAAATATAAATTGCATTAATGTAAAACTATATTACGAGTACAAGGAAATAAAATACTAGAAATTAAAGACAAGAAATTAAAGACATAACATTAAAGACAATAAATTAAAGACAATAAATTAAAAAGCATTTATAATATTACTAAAAAAGATGAAACATATTAGAGAGTAACAAAAGATGGTGTTTTGTTGGTGTTTGGCACACCTTGGCACACTTCAAAAGAGCTCTCCCAAGCTTCTTTATATAGGGGAGAAAAAAGGGGGTGAAGGACACCCAATGATTACCCAAAGGTAATTAGTACTACTTAAAAAAAATAAAATACAATAGGGAAGACAGCTCATAACAGCTGGAGGAAAAATATCTGGAGGAATCTTCAAGCTGCACGTTTCCCAAGAAGCTCTAGCCAGGCTGGAAGACTTCCCACAGTGGTGCCACAGTGGGCATAGCTGTCAGAAAAATAAAGATTTTCGGAATAATACCTCTTCCTTTGTGTTTCAACATCTTTTTAAAACTTTTTGGAATAAAAGATAAAAACAAGAAAATTGGGTATTTAAAAATAGCAAAAGGGGAGGAAATAAATAGAAAATAACTCTCAAAAATAAGAGTTATCACGTACTCGCGCAATGCAGCGAGATACATCGTGATTTTAATATTTCATTTTATTCTTTATCTCAGTCGAAGTTATAATATGGCTTTATGTGATTTTGAGAAAGTGATGATGTTTTTATTTTTGAATAAAATATATGTTTGAAGATATCATAAAAATTTGACAAAAAAGTATCGATATTAGTATCA